TGATTGACTCCTCAAGGCCAAGTTGGATAAAACCTTGACCAACCTTGAGCTACCAGAGCAGGAGATCTGGGCCTGGATGATCCCTAAAGTCTTTTCCACCCCAAACCATTCCATGATTGACTCCTCAAAGTCAGGCTGGATGAAATCATGACCAACCTTGAGCAACCAGAGCAGGAGATTTGGGCCTGGATGATCTCTAAGCTCCATCCCAACCCCTTGAGACCAGGTTGTCTGAAACCATGACCAACCTTGAGCAGTCAGGGCAGGGATTTGGGCCTGGATGATCTCTAAGCTCCATCCCAACCCCTTGAGACCAGGTTGTCTGAAACCATGACCAACCTTGAGCAGTCAGGGCAGGGATTTGGGCCTGGATGATCTCTAAGCTCCATCCCAACCCCTTGAGACCAGGTTGTCTGAAACCATGACCAACCTTGAGCAGTCAGGGCAGGGATTTGGGCCTGGATGATCTCTAAGCTCCATCCCAACCCCTTGAGACCAGGTTGTCTGAAACCATGACCAACCTTGAGCAGTCAGGGCAGGGATTTGGGCCTGGATGATCTCTAAGCTCCATCCCAACCCCTTGAGACCAGGTTGTCTGAAACCATGACCAACCTTGAGCAGTCAGGGCAGGGATTTGGGCCTGGATGATCTCTAAGCTCCATCCCAACCCCTTGAGACCAGGTTGTCTGAAACCATGACCAACCTTGAGCAGTCAGGGCAGGGATTTGGGCCTGGATGATCTCTAAGCTCCATCCCAACCCCTTGAGACCAGGTTGTCTGAAACCATGACCAACCTTGAGCAGTCAGGGCAGGGATTTGGGCCTGGATGATCTCTAAGCTCCATCCCAACCCCTTGAGACCAGGTTGTCTGAAACCATGACCAACCTTGAGCAGTCAGGGCAGGGATTTGGGCCTGGATGATCTCTAAGCTCCATCCCAACCCCTTGAGACCAGGTTGTCTGAAACCATGACCAACCTTGAGCAGTCAGGGCAGGGATTTGGGCCTGGATGATCTCTAAGCTCCATCCACCCCCTCAACCCACTCCACCCCTCCGTGGTGGGACAGGCCATGGGGTGGCACCTCCTTGCCCCACAGCCTGAGCCCCTGTCCTTGCACCCAGGAGTGTTCCGCGAGGCCGTGACGGAGTTCGACGTGGACGCTCGGGCGCTGAGCAAGGCTGGAGGTCCTCACGTCAAGACTCGTGTCACCAACCCCTCGGGGAACGTCACCGAGGCCTTCGTGGAGGACAGAGGAGATGGCACCTACCACGTGGAGTACACACCCTACGAGGAGGGTGAGCAGCGGGCACGGGGCGGGGAGACATGAGGAAAAAGGAGGGGAAGAGTCATAAGAAAGAAAAGGAGGGGAAGAATCCTAAGAAAAGGGGAGGAAGAATCAAAAGAAAAGGAGGAGAAGAATCAAAAGAAAAGAAGGGGAAGAATCAAAAAAGAAGGGAAAGAATCAAAAGAAAAGGAGGGGAAGAATCAAAAGAAAAGAAGGGGAAGAATCAAAAGAAAAGAAGGGGAAGAATCAGAAGAAAAGGAGGGGAAGAATCAAAAGAAAAGGAGGGGAAGAATCATAAGAAAAGGAGGGGAAGAGTCAAGAAAGAAAAGGATGGGAAGAATCATAAGGAAGGGGAAGAATGTCAAGAAAGAAAAGGAGGGGAAGAATCATAAGGAAGGGGAAGAATCATAAGAAGGAAAAGAAGAGTCATAAAGAAAAGAAGGGGAAGAATCATAAGGGGAAGAGTCATAAGAAAAGGAGAGGAAGAGTTGTAAGAAAGAAAAGAAGGGGAAGAGTCATAAAGAAGGAAAAGGAGGAGAAGGATCATAAGAGAAGGGGAAGAATCATAAGAAAAGCAGAAGAGTCCTAAGAAAGAAAAGAAGGGGAAGAGTCAGAAAGAAAAGGAGGAGAAGAGTCCTAAGAAAGTGCCCTCAGGATTTGTGTGTGGTGGGATGTGCTAAGTGGGCAGAGTGGGCAGCAGGAGGTGAGGGAGGGTGTGATTAGGGGGCAGCAGGAGGTGAGGGAGGACGTGGTGAGTGAGGAAGGTGTCCCTGTCCCCAGGGCTGCACACGGTGGAGGTGAGCTACGCTGGCACGGCCGTACCCCACAGCCCGTTCCGCGTGCCTGTGGCCGAGGGCTGCGACCCAGCGCGCGTGCGCGTGCACGGCCCTGGCATCCAGAGTGGCACCACCAACCAGCCCAACAAGTTCACCGTGGAGACCAGGTGAGCACCTCGGTCTGTGGGGATTGGGGTGGATGCCAACCCAAAATCCAGCTTCTGGGGCACAAAATCCACCTCCTGGGGCACCAAACCCAGCTCCATGGGCACCATATACATCTCCTGGGGCACCAAACCCACCTCCTGGGGCACCATATACATCTCCTGGGGCACCAAACCCTCCTCCTGGGGCACTAAGTTCCCCTCCACACCCCCAAATTCACCTCCTTGGGTGCCATATACACCTCTATGGGCACCAAACCCACCTCCACACCCCCAAACACAGCTCCTGGGGCGCCATATACATCTCCATGGGAACCAAATACAGCTCCATGGGCACCAAACCCACTTCCATGGGCACCAAATCTCGCTCCACACCCCTCAAATCCACCTCCTTGGGCATCATATCTCCCTCCACACCCCTCAAATCCACCTCCTTGGGCAACATATCTCCCTCCACACCCCTCAAATCCACCTCCTTGGGCATCATATCTCCCTCCACACCCCTCAAATCCACCTCCTTGGGCACCAAATCTCCCTCCACACCCCTCAAATCCACCTCCTTGGGCAACATATCTCCCTCCACACCCCTCAAATCCACCTCCTTGGGCATCATATCTCCCTCCACACCCCTCAAATCCACCTCCTTGGGCACCAAATCTCCCTCCACACCCCTCAAATCCACCTCCTTGGGCATCATATCTCCCTCCACACCCCCAAACCCACCTCCTGGGGCATCAAACCCACCTCCACGGGCACCAAATCCACCTCCTTGGGCACCAGCTCTCCCTGCACACCCCTCAAATCTCCCTCCATGTGCCTCTAGTCCGCCCTCAATCCACCTCCTTGTACCCCAAATCTCCTTCCCTGTACCCCAAATCTCCCTCCACCCACTCCACACCTGCCCCTGCTCCCTCTACACCCCACATCTCTTCTTCCCACCAATCTTCCTCCTCCTCATGCCCCCCAACCCCTTCCGAGCCCCAAACTCTCCTCCCGTGCCCACCCTGGAGACCTCTCCCGGGTGCTGGAGTGTTCTGGGGTGCCCCTCTGACCCCTGTGCCCCCCACCTTAGGGGTGCTGGCACCGGTGGCCTTGGCTTGGCTGTAGAAGGTCCCTCAGAGGCCAAAATGTCCTGCACGGACAACAAAGATGGAAGTTGCTCCGTGGAGTATGTGCCCTACGAACCAGGAACCTACAGCCTCAACGTCACCTACGGTGGCCACCAAGTCCCTGGTGAGCACTGGGAGGGTCCTGGGGGGCACCAGCACCACCCTGTGCCCTGTGGTGTCCTCAGCTCATGCCCCTCAACCCTTCCCAGGGAGTCCCTTCAAGGTGCCAGTGACGGATGTGGTGGATTCATCCAAGGTGAAGTGCTCGGGGCCGGGGCTGACGCCTGGTGCCGTCCGTGCCAACGTGCCCCAGACCTTCACCGTGGACACCAGCAAGGCTGGCGTGGCCCCACTGGATGTGAAGGTCCAGGGCCCCAAAGGTCAGGGCTTGGGGGACACTTCATTTTGGGGAGTGAGGGAAGGTTGGGGTGGTGTCTCCAAGGGTGATGGAGGGGTTGGCACAAAGGTGGTCCCATGGGGATTGTGAGGTGTCCTGTGGGGGATTGGGGTGCTCTGAGAGTTTTTAGGGTGCTTTGTAGTGGCTCTTGGGATGCCCTACATGGTCTTGGGGTGCTCTCTGGTGGCTCTTGAGGTGCCCTACATGGTCTTGGGGTGCTCTGTGGGATTTTAGGGTGCTCTGTAGTGGCTCTTGAGGTGCCCTACATGGTCTTGGGGTGCTCTGTGGGATTTTAGGATGCTCTGTAGTGGCTCTTGAGGTGCCCTACATGGTCTTGGGGTGCTCTGTGGTGGCTCTTGGGGTGCTCTGTGAGGTCTGTGGTGTCCTGCAGGATTTTGGGGTGCTCTGTAGCAGCTCTTAGGGTACTCTGTGGAGTCTCAGGGTGCTCTGTTGCAGCTCTTAGGGTGCCCTGTGAGATCTTGGGGTGCTCTGCACAGCCTCAAAGCACCCCTGGAAGGATTTAGGGTGCCCGTGGCACCTTACAGGCTCTTGGGGTGCCCCATGGGAGTCTTGGGGTACTTCATGCGGTGCTGCAAAGTTCTCCGGGTGCCCCACGAGGTTCTCCGAGGGTCTGGGGGTGCCCCCTGACCCCCCCTCCCTGTGCCCCCAGGTGTGGTGGAGCCCGTGGACGTGGCTGACAACGGGGACGGGACACAGCGCGTCAGCTACGTCCCCTCCCGCGAGGGCACCTACAACATCTCCGTGCGCTACGGCGACGAGGAGGTGCCACGCAGGTGAGCTGGGGGCACTGGGGGGGCACTGGGAGGGTCACTCTGCCTTAGTCTGGGGAAGAGGTGGTCAGGGGTGACCTCATGGCTCTCTACAACTACCTGAAAGTTGATTCTGTGATTCTATGATTCTCTGAAAGGAGATTGAGTCTGTGGTCGACCTCGTTGATCTCGTTGACTTCATTAGCCCCATTGACCTCAATAACCTTGTTGACCTGATTGACCTTGTTGACCACATTGACCCTGTTGACCATGTTGACCCCACTGGCCACATTGACCTCATTGACCACGTTGATCCTGTTGACCACATTGACCATGTTGACCCCATTGACCACGTTCACCACGTTGACCCTGTTGACCACATTGACCTTGTCGACCCCATTGACCATGTTCACCCCGTTGACCATGTTCACCCCATTGACCACATTGACCCTGTTGACCCCATTGACCATGTTCACCCCGTTGACCACATTGACCCCATTGCACCTCAGTCAAAATGCAGAGGACACCACATTGGGTGGGAGTGTGGCTTTTCCTGAGGGTGGGCAAGCTGTGGGAGATGTGGTTTAGGCATCCCAGCAGTGCCAGGTTAATGGTTGAACTGGATGACCTTCGAGGTCTCACCCCACCCTGAGCATCCTGTGGCTCTGCCCTGTCCCCACAGCCCCTTCAAGGTGAAGGCACTGCCCACCCACGACGCCAGCAAGGTGAAGGCGAGCGGCCCCGGGCTGAACACCACGGGCGTCCCTGCCAGCCTCCCCGTGGAGTTCACCATTGACGCCAAGGACGCGGGCGAGGGGCTCCTGGCTGTCCAGATCACGGTGGGTGAGGGGCTGGGCGGGTGGGACAGCACGGTGACCACGGCAGGTCGAGGGAAGTGGTTCTCCCGCTCTGCTCTGCTCTGCTGAGGTCCCACCCGGAGTGCTGTGAGCAGTTCTGGTGTCCTCAACATGAGGAGGACATGGCTGTGCCCAGGGCCGGAGGTTTGGGACTGG